ATGTCCTCGATTTTATCAGCAATCAATAAATGTCCTCGTTAAGTTTTGGAAAAAAATTAGTTTTGTTTATTCAAAATAATTTCAATGCACGTTGGTTAGGGCTAAAAATATATTCGGGACCCGTTGTCGAGTAATTATAGACAAGATTTTATTAAATGAAAAATGTATATTTTTTCACTACTTCGATTTGAATTCTTAAATATGAAAACGGAAAACTTTTCGGCTCAACTCTACTTAACTTCATTAATTGTGATTATGAAAAAAATACGAAATAACTTTCAACTTTATTTATCGTTCGAATTTTTATCGAAATTGAAGCTTCTTGACGATATAACGGCATCACCATCGAATCTTGATAGAACGGTATTTTTCCAGGACACATCGTGTAAAAATTTGATCGTATCATTTACTTCGAGGTAATCGACTGTTTGTTCGTTCGAATAGTTCAACTAGCCTCCGTATTAATTCCATTTTAATTGTTTCTTTTGTGTAGACATGTGCATGTGCCATCGAATCGGCTGTGACGTGGAATCCGAACCGTGATGTTTTTGTATTGTTCTCTTCACCTGTGGGCTTGTCTTCAAATGGACAGGCCAATTCACCAGTATTGAAAGCATTGACGACGAACTCAAACATTCATTATCGCAACGTCGATTGGTATAAAGAACGAAACGTAAATTCTTGCAGATTTTTATACCATTGTGCTTTCAAGCAGTAGTGGAGAATATACGGACTCGAATACACTGTACTGCAGTACTATTGATTGGTAAATAATCATGGCGGCTCCATATTATTGCAAAAATCACAAATATTATAAAGCCTTCACACGTTCTTTGTCGTTGATATACCAGCCGAAGAATGGGTGAAAAAAGATAAATTGCTCACAACAGAACATTTCATGGGTCGTTTATCCGACTTTCTTAGGCTTCTGTCTATCTACAAATTCGGTGGAATTCATTTCGACTTGGATATTATTGTTCAATCGACTTTGAAGATTTTCCACCCAACTTTATCGGTGCGCAAGACGCTGAAGAAATACAAAATTCAGTTTTTGGCTTTGAATCGAGAGGTTGGTCACAAAATTGTTGAATTGTTTCTAAGGTTGGCTAATTCTCTATTTGTTTTTTTTTTCATTGATCATATTCAAATATGAATCGGTAAGAATAATCTTGACCTGCCAAATTGAGTGAAAATAAATGTGAAACATAGATTGTTGTAAAGTCCATATAAAAAAAACTCTATGTTTCACATTTATTTTCATTCAATTTGGCAGGTCAAGATTTTTCTTACCGATTCATATGTCAATTTTTTTAAAAACAGGAATTTTACGGTTTACAAAATTCAGTTTTTGGCTTTGAATCGAGAGATGTTGGTCACAAA